ATAGTATCACTATACCTCTATAAAAGGGGGGAGAGAGCTCATGGAAGGAGGAGGCTTTTTGGGAGAGTGAAGTGAGATCCTCTCTTGAGAATTCCCTGCTGTTCTCCTTTTTTAAGTTTTTAGTTTTGAGTTTGAGTGAGGTTTGCTTTCAAGTTTTCTTTTGGGTGTTTGTAAGATAATTGTGTACTAGTAGTACTACTACTCCGGTTCATCACCAAGCTTTTGGTTTGTAAGTTTTTAAGTTTATTTTTCGTCAAGTATGTAAGTGTCTTTTGGTAATATTGCTACTTAGTTTGCTTTCGCTGCTACTGTTCATTACTTTTCACGTTGTTACTGTTCATTATTACTATTCATTACTATTTTTTATTTAACTTTTGATATACATGTGAACGAAGAAGAAGATATAGTTATAAACAATATCTATATCCTCTTCCCCGTCTACACAGTATTCCCCACGAGCTAGCTCTGTCGTATCAAGGCTAAAACATTCTTGGTCACGATTGTTATCAGAGTCTGTTAAACTAAAAGAAGAACCAGAGCTTGAAGACACTCCTATAGATAGCGACCATTGCTTAAACTTGTCTCAATTAGACCAATTAATGAGTCAAAAAAACAAAAAATCTTCTGTCTCATAAACAAACAAGCACAAAGGTGTTAATGCCATTTCTAGTAAGGGGTCTAATAGAGATTTGAACAAGGCCAAGATGAAGAAATTTAAGAGTAGGATCTTCAGTCATTTTTTTAGATGTCTTTATCGCTTAGTAATTGTAATTTCTCTGTGTGAGAGGTTATAATTTTTGTTTTTTCAATAGTCTTTATATGATAGGTTGTTTTTAATTTAAAACTTTCTTTACAATAAATATCATTAGTACTAACTTTAGGTATTTTCCAATTTGAAATGCTTTGATCAATAGTCTCATAATCTAAGGATTCTGAATTTTTAACCGACATTGTTTTTATACAAGGATTCTTTTTATCGGGGGAAAGATAGCTTAGAAACTTAGGCATCTTAAGAAAGACTTTAAGACTTTAACCTGCCAACAACAAGGGATAAACACGGATGAAAGAGCTCTAGACGCACTCAGCTAACGGGTGAAAGCCGTGTAAACTGCGACCACTAGTTAAGGAAATGAAGACTTAAGAAAGAGGCTAAGAAAACAAGCTAAAAATTAAGCAAATAATAGCAACTCTAAAAAGTTCGCAGATTCCTCATTAGTCAACAACACCAGATAAATACAGAACAAAACTGTGTAAGTCGTGACTACAGGAAGTAAGGAGGACTAACAAAGAGTACTAAAAATGCTAGAGGCTCTAGATTATACTAGAAATGTTAGAGAAATAAAATTCAATTCAATGTAAGCAATGAAGCATAAAAGTACTTAAAATTAAAGCAATTATAAATCGAGCGTACAATATTGTAGTAGTTTATACTACAAAAATCTGCAATTGTTTTATTGTAGGATGAGCATTAGTATCAATGAGTGAGCTGTTTCTCACGGGGATATACACCGGCGAGCCGGGGTTTGGGCTTCACCATCGCAGACCAACTCCGCCACCGGCTATAAGAGCTAGCTCGTGGGGAATACTGTGTAGACGGGGAAGATGATATAGATATTGTTTATAACTATATCTTCTTCTTCGTTCACATGTATATCAAAAATTAAAGAAAAAATAGTATTGAATAGTAATAATGAACAGTAATAGTGTGAACAGTAATGAACAGTAATAACGGAGGCAAACTAAGTAGTAATATTAACAAAAGACACATACTTGACGGAAAATAAACTTAAAAACTTACAAATCAGAAGTTTGGTGATGAACCGGAGTAGTAATACTAGTACACACTTATATTACAAATACTCAAAAGAAAACTTGAAAACAAACCTCACTCAAACTCAAAACTAAAAACTTAAAAAAGGAGAACAAGAGGGAATTCTTAAGAGAGGATCTCACTTCACTCTCCCAAAAAGCCTCCCAAAAAGCCTCCTCTTTCATGAGCTCCCCACCTCCTTTTATAGAGGTTTAGTGATACTATGCTAAGATGCCTTCATAACCTGTGGGGCCCTCCTGAGTAAATTTGGCAAAACCTACAAGAGTTTAGGTAGAGTAGCATTTTGACAAAATTTTCTTCATGCTTAAGTATCCGAAGAGAGAATCCAAAGTGGCATACTGTGTATAAACATATCTGCTGTCAAGTCCTCTGCAGGTGCTTCTTTTAGCTGTTAATAAAATTTGCAAAAAAGTTAATTATTTTAAACTAAAAGAATAGTGACAAGTATTGATTGACTTAGTGTTTAAGTCATTAGGATTAATCATATGTGGGATTTATCATGGGTTAATGGCATTTCACAAATTATCCCATGTATGGGATATTTCTTCTGCTAGATCACTGTCAATAGACACTCATGGTATTGTTTTGCTGCCATAAAAACATCATAAGCTTCTCTTGTTTCTGGGCCAATTGGTGGATTAGTCATTCATTTATCAATGACAGTTTTGGTTGCTTTATGATGAGAAGTTTCTTCCATATTGATGTTAGTGCAGACAATCTAAAATCCATCGGTCATATTATAGGAATAATCTTCATATAAATCCTCAAGTTTCTTGTAGAACGAGATGGTGCTTTGAAAACGATCCATTCCTAAATCATAGCTTTCTTCATCAAATCTTTTAAAATGATAGAGACCAGTGATTAGAAATTTTCCAAATTTGTAAGCTTGGGAAATATTCAAAATCGCTTCGTTTATGTAAGGTAGCTGTAATATTAAATTGAAGATGTGCCAAACTTATAGGAGATAAGAAGATGACAGTCTTAATAATAGCAGGCAACCTTTTAAACCTCATTGGATTGTAGAAGAATGGTGGCTCTCTTGAGATTCTTAATTGATCGACAAGTCCAGCGTCTATATGTGGGATATAGGGAGGAATATTAGGAAGACTTATAGCGAATCTGGGAGATTTACTTGTTGTCGTACTAGGAAGTGTGGATCCTTTTAGAAGAGAGGATATTGTCATCTTCAACTTTTGCCTTAATGACATCTTGAACATCTTGAGGCAAAATGTTTAGTTTGGAGGATATTGTCATCTTCAACTTTTGCCTTAATGACATCTTGAACATCTTGAGGCAAAATGTTTAGTTTGGCCCATAATTGCTCTCTGTTAAGACGTCTTAATGACATCTTGAACATCTTGAGGCAAAATGTTTAGTTTGGCCCATAATTGCTCTCTGTTAAGACGTTCCATGCAGATATTTTGCTGAATATATTCTGGTATTTCGAGGATTTGGAACATCTTATGAGAGGTTAATGAGATCTTGTTGGAGTAAGGATAGAGATAATTAATCTGAACTTCTTGAACTTAAACAAAAAATAAAACATTTAGAAACTTATTTAGAAAATAAAACCATAGACGAGTTTGAAGGCTTCAAAGAAACCTTTGAACATGAAAAAAATTCTAATGATAATGAATTTATAAATTCTATAGAAAAATATGCTGAGAAAAAATGGAGATGTGATATCATGCTCAATATTATGGACCAATACTCTGTTCAGCATATAGCTTTAATTGATACTGGAGCAGACATAAATTGTATTAGAGAAGATCTTGTTTCTCTAAGATTTTATGAGAAAACATCTCATCTGGTTAGCGCTACTAATGGTCAGGCTCTCAAAGCTCGATATAAACTCACAAATGCTTACATTTGCAATGGAGGTTTAAAAATTAAAACTTCCTTTGTCCTATTCAAAGACCTCAAACAAGGTATTATTTTGGGAACCCCTTTTATTAATAATCTTAAGCCCTTTATTGTTGATTCTCATGGTATCCATACCATAGCCAGTGACCCTAACGTCTCTTTTTGGTTTAATAAAGAACCTTTCTTTTTGGTTTAATAAAGAACCTGAAGACATACTAGTTAATTGCCTATTCTCTGCCTTACATTTCAAAGAAAAATTTATAAATGTTATTTCTAATATTACAGATAAAGATTGTTTAGACTCTTTTAACAATAAGATCATTGATAAGAAAAGGCATATTCGTCTTTCGTATATCAAAGAATTCTCTCGTTTCTCTTTTAACAATAGACATTTTGACATACCAGTACGAATGAACGAAACTCTTTTGAATTTTTGCAAAGAAGAAATTGAAGGCCTCATTAGAGATAATCTAATAAAAACTGACTATAAAACATGCTGTTTAGATTCTACTTCTGAGCATGGAGTCTCTAGTCAAATTATTGATTATAAAGAATCAAATAATTTGGTTTGGGTCAATTATTATGTGCCAGAATATCAAATTGATAATATTACAGATGAGAAAGTATTCTTAAAATTTTATATAAAAATGGGTTTTTGGCAAATGCAAATCCTAGAAGAAAATCAATGGAAAACTGTTCCGCTCCAGGATAGAGATAATTAATCTCATATGAAAGATCTATAAATCTTCTTGTCAGCTCTTCTGTTTAATAAATTGTTCATCTTTTTCTTTCAAAAGATGGACTACATGAGTCATATGTACTCTGATTTGTTTTTTCTCCTGAGTGCAGATACTGTTCCACAGATTATTGATGATCATATAATCATGATTTTGTAATCCTGTGTTATAAAAACATTTCAACCTTTTTACGGGAGATGCTGGAGTTAAGCAAATAGATTTTCCTTTAGCTTTGTAAGATTAAAGCTTGATGTCTTCTTCCTGCAACATATTCGAAAATGTTCATTTGAATTTAGTATTTCATTAAAGTAGCGAAAAAAAAATACTTCTAACTGTTTCCAATGTTCTTCAAAATTATTTGAGAAGAGAATTATCACTGTGGGTAGTAAGATGAGAAATTCTCGACAGTCATGGAGATAGTGTTTTAAGAACTTTAGGTATTCTTGTTGAAAGGTAAGTATAGCCAGGCAGCCTTCTTCTCCAATTATAGAAGGAGAAGGGGAGGATGAGAACAGTTATATATATATATATATATATATGCCTCACATACTTTTTGGGTGTATCTTAAGCCCTATGTTGTAGCTTTCAGACAATTTCTTTCAATTCTTGAACTTAATTTGATACGTACATCATTTAGTAATGATTAATTGGACCAAATAAATATTTTACCTCATATTATTGTCACACATTGATTGAGGGTAGGGGTAAACTCAACCTTTTCCTCTTCTAAGAAGATTGGATTGTTTCATGTCAGATCCATACATGTATATATGGTACTGCAATATTTTGATCCTTGGTAGTCACATTCTCGTTGCATCTTTACTGTGGCCTTAGGTCTGTTTTCCTCAAAATATGGATGCATGGAAGACATTGGATACTTCTCGGTAGCGAAGAAGCTAAGCTGACGAAATTATTGGGTCCAAATCCAATTTGATTTTCTAGTCATTGTCGTTTATCTTTTTTAAATAAGGACATGTCAATGGATTTACATGATACATTGCTACATGAGGTTTCTCTTAATTCTTAAGCTATATGAAATATGAAGTTTTTCTTTCCAGCTTGTTAATTTGCAAACTTGACGCTGATTTCAACATATGGATGTCTTTAATGTATTGCTACTTCTCTTACTATGCTTCTTAGACTATTTTTTTTTCTGTTGTTTATGTTTCATTCTTAGTCTTGATTTCTATTTTTGACAAGTAGATATAAAAAGTACTATATATTGGAGATATTTTCGTCGGTGTATCTTTGTCATGTTCATACCATATGATATTGTCCTGTCTAATCTGTAAACGTTGGCTAGATATAGAATGACAGCTTGTGACTTATTTTTGCACTCTAGTCTTGCTGCGACGTAGTTGAGAAATTGGTTTAAGTTAAATTTTATCTGAAGAAGGTAATTCTGATGCACTCTAGCTGCTTTTGATGGATATGTTAGGCATAGGAATGTGCTTAGGAGGCTGAGCTGGTTGTTGCTTCACTTTTTTTTGGGTACTGTTTCCACAGAGGTTAGATGTAGTTCTTACGCGGTAAAGTATGTTACTTTAGTGCATATTTCTCTAGGTAATTTGGTTTGTCAACAAACTACAAATGGGTTTTGCTCTTGCACTTTGTCTATTAGGTTGCAGAACCCTGTCAGAAAGAACGTCTTGAACCTTTCTTTACTTTCAGATATAGCTTCTGCAATAGGTTGTCTTTGTTCTGTAAATATGCTTTGTTTGTATATTGACCTACCTAAGTGAAGTTTTGGCCATCTCTGAAGTATATAAATTCTGGACAGGCTCTCATTGACACTAATGACCATGAAATCTATGTGAGCTTAACATGCTGCTATAAAGAGAGATATCAGCGGGAAAAGGGTGCTGTTGGCACGCAGCTGATAGGTGAAAGGGCTCAAATAATTCTTGATGAAGTCAGAAACTTGTCTCTTTTTACGCGCTCTGATTGCTTAAAGCATATTGGTACCCACACGCTCATTAAATCTTCAATATAGAAATATGTTTTCGATTTTTCTTATTAGGATTTATTTTCCTGTGTATGTTTTCTTCAGGGGAATACTTTAAACCGGCCATTGATGGATTTGAAGCTGAAAGTTACACAGCTGTAAGTAAAATGCAGTCTTTTTCTCTATATTCTAATGTAACTTTACGTTAACTAGTTTTCCTGGACAAATTTCCTATGCTATCAGCTATTGACACCATTTTGAATCTATGATGTAGGTTGCGGATGCTGTTCTGAGAGATTATATATTTGTGCATCTTACAAGCAACCATGACAAGTTCAATTTGCTAATGTAAGTCAACTTTTTTCTTCCATTTTAGCTCCATTACAGGGATCAGTTTGATTTCCCCATCCTTTGACATCTTATTTGAATGACATTATTTGCTACTATGTTGTTAATGTTGTGTTCTGCTTTAGTTTTATGCTACAGAAGCTTTATGCACTTGTAGATCAGACTGCTGCACCTGATAATGGGGACGTGCTGCAAAATCAGGAAGTTCTACTACCTGGACACTTAATTTCTATTTATCTTAAGGTATGACACTTTGTCATTTGAATGAACTAGTATTAGTTTGTGCTGCTCCATTTCAATCTAAATACTTCCATGGAAATTTCCTACTTGTTAGATAAACCTCCAACAATAAAGAAAGTAGTGGTTTGGGGATTTCTATGTTGCTTCTTCTAATTGACATTACCTTGCTTTGTAATTAAGCAAACTTGTTGTTTTTTCAGCATAATGTACATTCAACAGATGTATCATTATGCTACTGATTTGTGTGATTAGCTGATTTGTTTGACATGCTACTTCTTTTGGACCTTATGGTTTCTTACCTATCAGAAAAAGTTGGTTTATGTCCTCTAAATAAATGTAGATTGCTAGGTTTCATTGAGGATATTGATTGAGTCCTGTTTAATGATGAATTTTTTTTTTTGGTGGTGGTGGGGGGGGGGGTAGGCGCGTTGATTAGAGATAGGATTCCGCAAATGGTTTTCACTTCTTCCTCTTCCTCGACATCTTCATTTTCTTCTACCACTTTCCTCCCTTTATCTTCACCCCTTTCTCTTCTTCTTCCTCCTCATCTGTCCCTATGGGGTATCTGGATGCCTTGGTGAATGTATTGAACTTGTTAGATATCACCACCAACTGCTGCCTATATAATGTTCAACAATCATGGGCATGAATACATTGCCTTGTGATACTAAAATTCTTAATTTTCTTGATAGCAGGCATCACTGCATATGGCTGATACAACACTCAGATTGATCATCAACTCTGTGAATTTGTAGCATTACCTCTATCACATGAATAAGCAAAAAAGAAGTCATTTTTATTTGATTAACCGTGTGAATTTGTAGCATTACCTCTATCACATGAATAAGCAAACGGAAGTTGCAATTGGACAATGCCAACTGATGCCAATGTTTGCTTCATCTCGATTCGGAAAATAACGTAAGACTATTTGTCCATTATTTTCACTAGCCAAACCAACAGAAAGATTAAAAGCATTTCCAATAGGACTCAGTACCGATAATTAATCGAAAAAAGTTTCATTAAGGCTAGTTACTATGAATTCACCACATTAATGACAAGACTGGGGAGGGATGCACCTGAAGGTGAAAGAGTGACCATGTGTCTGGGAGAACAACTGAAATATGATGGACTTGAGTCTATGAGATGCTGAGGAGGCAATGACTTAAATATTGAAAGATAGCATCATATTACAACACTACGAAAAGGAACAAGCAAAGGAAAAGAATCAACAAATGATGGATCCTGTCATTTCTAAAGATGCCTTATATATAGCAGTCCTTTCCCACTTTTCGCAAGGAAAGTGCAATTTAAGAAGAGGGAGTACTGTAAAACCTTTTATTATCATAGGTTATACTGGAAAGTCTGGCCTAATGCTGCCTTGTGAAACCATGGTGTGCTCAGATATCAACAATTTGATACTATATTTCCTGTGAGATTCTGCTATGCTTTTGGATATGCATCCGGTCTGTTTTTTTTACATTGCTATTTTCTGTGCTGTCCCGTAAATTAATTTCTGTGCAATATTGTAATATTTAGCCTTATGCCGATATTAACCATATATGTATTATGGCAGGAAAAAGTTGTGGAATGGCTACGCAGATCAAGGCGCCTGCTTGCTGAAGAGATGGCCAAAAGCAAAGACTTCAGCATTAAAGATCGTATGTAGATCCACAGATCCTTTTGTTTGAATTTTATAAGTTGTATAATTTCTCATTTCAAACAATAACTGCTTCACTTTAAGCAAAAAAGAGGCTTTTAGTTCTCTGATTTAGGGAATGTATCCCTTGTTAATCTAATGAATAATCTTCGCAAATGTGATAAATTATTGATTAGGGAGGAGATATGACTACATTGTAGTTTTGTCTTAGAGTCTCTTACCTCATAAAACCCAACTCATCAATCATGGTTCTAGTTTTTTTTCTTGGAGAGATAGGATAGGAAATATAAATCTCAGCCTTTTCTGGTTGCAAATTTTAGGGGCTATCTTCATATGCCTTAATTGTTTGGTTAGTAAAGATAAAATAAATGATATAGGAAACAGTACCATCTGCAGCAAGTGATAAGAAAGTTTCGATTATATACTTAAGGTAGAGAATTTCAATGTCATGATTTTTATAAAGTTCAAGATTGTATTATCTAACTAAATGCTTTCATAAAAAAAATCACATTGTTCTAGGCAAAATCAAACTCGCATGCTGCTGCGATATTTAGGGACATTAAAACTGCAGTTGGGCCTTTAAGATATTATAAATGTCATTTGAATACCAAGACAATGTATTATTGCTGTTTAATTTTGGTCTTTTATGGCATTTTCCTTAATGCTGATCGTTATTTTCATCATCATAATTTTCGACGGAACAAATTTCCTTTACTGTTGGTAATTGTCTTCAAGTTTATTCTAGAATTTGGCATGCAAGCTTCTGTAGGTTTTTCATCCCACATTTTGGGATCACCATAAGTACTGTGGCTTTAGTTGATTTTGATCAGGATTTCAAGTTGATATTAATGCTTGGTTTTTTTTGTTTCCTAATCACAATGAGACAATTTTTGAACAAATAAACATTCTGATTACGAATTAATGGGGATTTTGTAGAATTGAAATAATTTAAATAAACGCACAGGCTGAGGACTTGACAAGTAGATATGAAGTGTTCTGCATGGGATAACGACCTGCGAATTTTCATGTGGTCACAAATTTTCCTTTATAAGTTTTCCAAGAGCACTAGCCACAGCCCCGTGTGCCCTTTACTCGCCGTTGTGGCTAGGACACATGTTCCTAATTCACTCGTGCTGTGGCTTTTTCCAATTGCCAATTTGCAAGAAGACTTTAAATTCTGGGGTTTGAGATAAGAGGTAGGAAGAAAATCTGAAATAGATGGATGTATACATAGTGAATGTATAGATGGATGTTTTTATGCATACATAGTGAAGCACTTCTATCAGAATGGTTCCTCTTGATTAACACATCTAATCTAGCGTGTAGTTGCCCTTGCATCAAATGACATCTTTTTATGGATGGAATAATGTGTTACTTGCATTCACTTGATTCTTGAGTAGAAAGTTTTTAAATGGTTTTATCTCTCTTCTCAGACAAGCTAGTTCGTGCATCATTTTGACATTTATTATTGTTCTATAATTCAATTGTGGAACTCTTTATTTAGTTGTAAATGTTTGTATCCTATACATGGTGGGTGTACTCTACCTCAACAGATGAATGCTTCTTGTATGAGTCTGAATGTATCGTATACATGGTGGGTGTACTCTACCTCTACAGATGAGTATTTCTTGTGTGAGTCTGTGAATGTATCTATACATGGTGGGTACACTCTACCTAAACAGATGAATATTTCTTATATGAGTCTGTAAATGCACAGTGCATGTAGTTTTCAAGTTTTTAGTCTCCTGAGCTTTAATTTTGAGATGTTGCATTTCTTGCAGCCGAGCAAGTAAAGAAATTTCTGGCTCGAAGTTCTGTTTCAATAGGCAGAAGTATTGAGAGCATGTTAAAGGTTGGAAGATTGGCTACTGCATCGAGTTTAGACTTACCTCAGGTATCCTGTCAGTAGCTTTTGCTCTGTGTTTTTCTAATTTTATTGGAGCTTGATTATATTGTAGAATTAGCTTTAATTTGGCCTTCCTGCATGAGTGTGTGAGCTGAGTTTCATTTTTATATATCATTCTGAAGGCATGTTTGCACAGAAAGTTGAATATTTCTATGTTTTGACATTTTTTTTTCTGTAATGTGAGTTGTTTTTTGTGCTCAAGCTGCTGCTGATGTACAATTATTCAAAGATTAATATTCAATTTTTGATCAAGCCTATTTCACGTTTTCCTGCTATATGGCTTTTTGTTTATTGTTGCTCTTAAATGTCAATTTTGTTATTTACAATAAGCATTATAAATTCTAAATGTAAATTTATCTTGATGTGGGTAAAGAAAAATGTGAAGTGGGACCTTAAGAGATCATTAACTTGGGGTTTGACTGTTTGCGACATTTTTTGTAATTAATCTTTGCCTCGGTGCATGTTGCAGCTCTCCATCCATTGTGGATATGTGAGTCTGTGAGTTAACACATATCTACTTTTCTTGTTAAAAAATAGAAGCCAAATTTAAGTTGACTGAGCTTTATATTTAAGAGTAACGTCTCTTATGAGAAAGAAATAGTTGCCTTAGGACCATGCTGGGTATGCAACTGTGAAAAAGTTTAACCTAGGCAGTTACCATGATGAACACGTTCTTGAATTCTCCAATGTTTTCCTCTGTACTATTCCAGTGATTTATGTGTAACTGTGATCCATATTCAAGTCCAATTATTCCCTCTATATCTCAGAGTCATATATCTTTTTTTACAGCATTATTAGGCATAGTATAGTTTTTCTAGATGTGATTTTTTTGCAAGTAACTTGTAGTGACTGTATCCTGACACTTTGTTTTTGTTGATACCAATAGAAAGAAGGAGTGACTATTCAAGCAGAGAGACTAAACTATCTTAGATTCATATCTCATTTTTGTGCTGTTCATCGAGGTGCTGCCTTTGCCAAAATGCGAACGACAGTTGTACGAAAACTGATGCCAGAGTATGTTGCTTTTCTCTATTTACAAGTTATAAATACTGGTATTAAACCCGGCAATCTTACTTTACAATGTTCTGAAGATTTTAAAGACTTGATCAATTTTAAATTTCACTAATTCAGGTATGTCAATGATAATTAGACATTTAGTTATAGTACCTATCCTCTTCATTTTGTTAGATTTTTTAACAATTAGAGGCGATGTTAGTTTTCAATAGGCGAGAACATTGGATTAATTAATTTGTGCGATAAATTTTTTTTATATTGCTTACATTTCCTTCAAAAAACTCCTAGCAATTATATTAGCGCTTGTATTTAATATGTTAAAGTAGATTCTCTTATCTGTCTTTGTGAAAGTGATTTACTAAGTGTTCTGTGTCACCAGCTTAATATCTTTAATAAATTTCTTTCAGGTCTTGGGGTTTCCTCTGTCCAGTTCATACACCTGATGGAGAGCCTTGTGGCCTGCTCAACCATATGACATCTACATGCTGTAAGCTTAAGTTTCATGGAGGCTAATCACTGTTTTGTCTTTTTTCTCAGAGCTTTTACAGATTTGAGATTGCATGATTTATGTACCTTAAGTTTAATTAAGATTGGTCCTACTTGTTTTATTTAAGGATGTCTCCCACTGTGTTTTTCTCAATTTTCCTTCTTACTTGTTTATAGTTAAATTCAATCTGCAGTATTTTAATGCTTATGTGCACTCTTGTCTCATGGGTTGTCGTGAATAGCATTCGGGTTATAAAATAACTTAATATAATTTAGGGCGCTATTTATGCTTAGTTAAATTTCTGTTTGTATCATGTCTAACCCATTGCCCTTCATAAATCTTTCTTACGAAATAATTTCATTAATTTTTTAGTTTATAAGCTGGGAAATAGCCTTTTGGCACTTCTACACTGTCTATAATTTTTTGTTTGTGGTGGATTAACAATTTAACATAGATAGAAACACGTTATTTGTCATGACATAATGTCATAATTTACCTCTTTATACTTCCAGGTATTACCTCTTACTTCAACACTGAGGGTAAAGTAAAAGATTTTCGTGATATACAAAGATCAATTCAGAATGTGTTGATTCGTCTTGGAATGAGTCCTTTGCTGCCAAAGCTTGAACATGCCGGTCCTCCGGAGGTTCTTCAAGTTCTATTAGATGGGCGTCTTGTAGGTTCTATTGCGTGTACGGAAGTAGAGAAAGCTGTTGCACATATTCGTAGCTTGAAGCTTTCTGCATCTTCGAGGGTCGGGCTGGTGAAGTCACTAGAATATGTTCCTGTTTTCTGTTTCCTGAATCTTTACAGTTTCATTTCTGATAGTCTATAATTTACAGATTCCTGATGATCTGGAAGTGGGATATGTACCTCTAAGTCTTGGGGGAGCCTACCCTGGCTTGTACCTTTTCACTTCTCCTTCAAGATTTCTTCGGCCAGTTAGGAACATTTCCCATACCACAGATCAAAATATTGAGCTGATTGGTCCATTTGAACAGGTAACATAACTGAGCATGCAGTTATCTTTTCTGATTATGTCAGCTATGATATGGGATTCAGATATACAAAAAAAATCATTTGCTGTATTTGATAAGGTAAAAATCATTTGAAGTATGTGACAAGTAAAAGCATAACAATTCTTTTTAATGATTAGGCATTTATGGAAATACGATGTGCTGATGGTAGTGACGGTGGAAGAAGATCGTTTCCAGCAACACATGAAGAAATCCATCCAACTGGCATACTTAGTGTAGTTGCAAACCTCACGCCATGGTCTGATCACAACCAGAGTCCCCGTAACATGTATCAGTGTCAGGTTCTAATTTCTTCTTAGACCAAATAGGAGGTTTTGCTTTCTAAGCACACTTTATTTATTTATTTTTATGTAAATTTTATTATCTAATGCTCTTATATATAGATGGCAAAGCAAACTATGGGATTTTCTTCACAAGCTATACGATTTCGTACGGATGTGAAAGCATACCATCTACAGGTGTGTTACATAACATTGCTTTCTCTCTTTCTCAATGAGATGACTGTTCTACCCAACATTATCACACTGCTTAATGAGTAACCTTTTGTCTTCTAGCTGAGTTTTTTTCTCCTTCGTTTGACACTATAACCTTGAAATGTGATGTTTTTTAACCTATGTCCTATTCTAAAGAGGTGGTTCTTTTAGTTTGAGGAGTCTAGTGAGAAAAACAGCCTTCCGTTGTTGCAAGTTTTTTCAATTGTTTAAATCATTTATGATTGTACTAGTAAGGAGCGCACGTGCCTGCTCCATCTACACTGCTCAGCGCCTGCTCCATCTACACTGATCAACTAGCGGGCAGTGCAAACTGCTTCAGACTACAACTTTTGACAACTTTGCTATCTTTGACCTTTCTGATATGCTATTGCGCTATGTTGTGCTGGTCTCTGTCCCTTGATGCTGAACATACTTAACAATAGTTTTGAAACTTAATGAAAGTGTACTCTCCTAATTTTTGTCTGTTTGCCTTCATTATGTCATGGAACTTACAAAAGAATGTAAAAACCTAGTCCTTGATCTTCAACTCGTACCTTCATGGATGCAACATCAATGAATGTACAAAGTATACCTGTTGCCACCCTAGGACTCCACCTCGGTGAGTCTACAAATATCCGAGTAAATCATACCAAGATATCTTCTTTCTTTTAGAAAACCTATTAAAAGAAACTCTATGTTACTTATCAATAAATAATACATAAGTTTTGGGAGTCATGTTTTTGGCAAACGAAATAAGACGCTTCTTTTCATACTTGCAATCCTGTGCCTAGCTTCATATGCCACAAATTGAGAGAATCGCCAACTTGAAAGCATCATAGGAAGCCTTTGCTCGATTCTTGTACAAAGTGCAAGATACACTTCCTCTAGCCACAACAAAGAAACTTTGGTGACTCTACGACTACATCTTCCATAACCAAAGTGACTGTCATATCATATCTCATGGTATTTAAAGTAAGACCCAAAGAGAATATGTGACACAAATTGAGAATCTGCTGCACATCCTTCAATTTTAAGTTGCTAATATTACCCATTTTTACATTGTCAAGTTTCCTACTCTATATGATGTGAGGAGTTCCACAGTTTGAGGAGGCTTGAATGTAGCTCTATTATTTACTACCCACTCAGAGCATTTAGTCTTCTTTCCCAAAAGTGAGAAAACATCTCCTTTAGATAAAGTGGCAAATGTCCTCGTTTTCATTTTTCTTCCATCTGTCTCTGATATTTGTTTCTAGCCAATGTTTTAAAAAGCTCCCATCTAGCCCCTCTAGACTCCCGTCTAGGCCTAGATAGTACCTAGGCCGCCCCGCCTTGGTCTTGGGAGTGACTGGGGGAGCGGAGATCACTTACGCGAACTGTATCACTTTGTTCTTGGTTGTGATTTCCTACATTGCTGCCTTCACAAGTTCACATCCTCTAACCTCCTCCGAACTGGTCGTGATTTCCTACATTGCTGCTTTCACATCCTCTAACCTCTTCCAAACTCCTCCAACCTCCACCAACTACGAACACCTCCTTCAACTCCTCTGACGTTCAGCAAGACCTTGTCCACCACCAGTTAAGCAAAAAAAGAAACCCTCCTAGGTCTAGCTCCTAGCGATGCCTAGCGCTTTTGATAACATTGATTTATCTAGCTCTTAAACTCATTCAAGTACTTTGCTCTGTTGTTCCCTTGAACTTCAAGTTCCTCAACTGCTCCATAATGAACGCCTTGTTCTGGCAGTCTTTTGCTCATAGAGATCCTTGAGGTTTTTCCTCAAAGAATTGATTTGTTTCCTTCGATATATTGTGATACCCTAACACTGACATCTATCCACATCCGAGTATAATTAATGGCCTTTTGATTTTTACTTGTTGGGGAGTAACCCTTCCCAACCGACAGTTAATGGGCGTAACATTTAGGCTATGAACCAAATTAACCCAGAAGCTTAAGCATTTGGATTACTTTGGTCCTCAACCTATGTTTAAGGCCCACTAACTTCTAGATTGTGCTCGATTCTACCCCAGCAGGTTGCTCTCCCTCCATTGGTGAGTTGAGTTGGTACTATCAGGTGCTGGAAATGGTGGGTAAAGAAAAACAGTTGAACCAAATCTAATGAAAATTAGCATATGTTGATTGAAACTTTAAATCTTACTGGCATGGTCTTGGTTCTCACGTAGGGGAGAACTTTTCAAAATTTAGTTAAAAATGTTTATTTTCCTAAATCTAGGACTATGGCGATATATTGTAACATACTTTTCTATGGTTACAGTTAAGCACATTCATTTGCAGTTAGTTAAATGTTATATTATACATTTAAAGATTTCGTGACAGTAGAAGGAGCTCCATTATTGATCATCGTTTCTGCAAGGAATGTCTCTTTTTGGGTGTCATTTAATTTGCAAATGGTTCTAGAACTTTCTTCTCTCTTTGTATAGACTTTTCTGCCTTGTAATGTTATGCTAGTAAATGCAAGGAGATAACGTGATGCTTATTCTAGTAAATGTAAGGAGGTACATGGTGCAAATTGCTGTCTTATTATAGAGTTATCTTTTCCTTAGACTTTTATTATAAATCCGTATCTTTCATATGATTAGGACCATTTATAATCCTCTGTCATTGGCTGTGTAGACACCTCAATCTCCAATCGTGCGGACAGCGTCGTACAATAAATATTGTGTAGATGAATTCCCCACTGGAACAAATGCAATTGTAGCAGTGCTAGCTTACTCAGGGTAAGGCATCAGTTATTGTTTTTATTGATTTGATTAGCCTGTATTAATAATTTTTCTCTTTAACAGCTATGACATGGAAGATGCCATGATCTTGAATAAGTCATCCGTTGATCGTGGGCTGTGTCGTGGACATATATATCAGGTTACCCCTTCCTACAACTCTCCCTTCCTTCACCCTGCCCACCTACCCACCCACACAGACACTAACATTACCTATCCTCATACGTGAATGGGAACTATTTTGGTGCAGTGTGCACATATACATATGTCTTCATGGAAACCTTTATCCTTCCTTTTGCCTAATTGTAACGACACCTGTCTGTCGATTCAGCTATGGGATGTTTCATTCAATTTTTTTGTATTGTTCCATGAATTTCAGATCTTAGCTTATGGTCAGTTAAAATTTCTTTTGCAGACAGAATCAATTGACTTGGCAGAGAGGCAGGAAAAATCAAGTAAAAAAGTCTTTGCAAGAAGCAATGATAAGAGCATGAGTTCTTCCATTGATTCTGACGGGCTTCCTTATATTGGACAGGTTTGTTATATGCTTAGGGATGTCATCTTCTGCGTCGTTTTTTTATTTACTGGTACTGATCTGGTCAACATTCATTGTCTGTAGATGGTAAAACCAAAAGAACCACTGTATAGCACTTACGATGACTTGACTAGCGATGTAAAATCCACTCTTCTCAAGGGATCAGAACCCGTTATTGTTGATAATGTGACTGTTATAGGTACAGCTTCAAAGAACTGCATGCAAAAGGTATCTTTTGGAATCCTTGAGTTCTTCTTTTTAGCACATCCCAGTTATAATTTCCAATTTCTAGAAAAGAAGTGACGACTGATTAGCTGCTATTGAGTAGTAGAATTGTAAAACACCTAAAAAGGAAAAAAGAGATATTCAAAGTGAAAAAAGAATAAATCTATCTTGTAGGCCCAGAAAGTTCCCATTTAGTCATAGCGATGATTTCTTATGACCCTGGAATGATGGATTTAATTCTATGACAAGAAGAATGATATCTTTATGTTTTTGAAGACAACTTTTGGGCCACTACAGAGGCACAGAAGAACTTTTTTTGCTGCTGTTTGCAGGCGCCTGCTGCATAAAAATAGGGTACTTGCTAATGTGATGTGTGTGTGTCTGATTCAAATTCAAAGTAACTTAAGCAAACACAATCTAACTTCTTCTAATTATTTCCTCACATTTTATTTTTCTTCATTTCTACATAAATTGAGCATTCGTTTGTAGGAAAGTGGTCGCTATACTTCATTACAAATATATGGAAAAAAAATTTTGATCTAAAGTTATGCATTATCATTGCTTTTTTAGGTTTCGATCCCTTTCTCATCCTGAAAGATAAAAAATAGACGAGGCAAGGAGTTGAGTCTAGGATTGAAAGCAACATATTTCCCTACGATTTTAAGTATCAACGAAATCAAGTATATTCAGCTAAGATCAGGCCATTTTTTTTTTGTCAAAAGGAAGCAATATGCTTCTGTACTTCAGTTGTTTTGATTTTGTTTTCATAGGGACATACAAAGAAGAAAATGAGAAGAGAAATTAAGGGACTCCAACCATGACTTGTGAGAGAAACCTTAAGACTGACAGTAGTAAACTGCATTCCTGTAAGTTGATAAAGGGTTTTTTTAAGATACTAGTCCCTCAAATCTTCAATAATTTCATGATTTTTTTTTTCAGAACATAAAATAAATACATCCACATGCAACGCATTTGCACTATACTAGTTATGACAAACATGAAATGTTGTTGAAAATTTTGTAAGTGTAGTTGATTTGCTGCAGTTTGATTGATCCAGATTTGTTGACTTTTTTTTATGATAGAACTAGGACTGGATTGTTTATGCATACCCAGGTTTGGATTAGACACTACAGACGTTATCAGTAACTACTTATCCAAAAGCATAATTTAGTGTTATTATTTGGGTCAATAGTGTATGTCAAGCAATCTTAGCATTTTAAATGCCCTTCGCATGGGACTTCCAGCCATGTGGAAGAACCTGAGCACAAAGGTTACTTGCTTGGAAAGGAAGATGAACCTGAAAAAAATAACACGAGCCTTAGATTTCCAATTGTGTGCTTGCAGACTAGGAGTCATGGAATCTAGTTTCTGATATCAGGCCCTGCATCCCCTTTTATCATAAAACATGAGCTAAAGGTTCTGAGCCAAAAATGTACTTCAAGTAACACTTCATGTTGCTTACCACTTTGACCTTCCCACTTTCTGGAAAGATCTTTGGATATCAACTTGTAAAAGTAGAATAGTGGTAAACAAACATGTTGACATTTTTTAAGTTGGCAACTATAGAGGCTTAAGGCTAAAACCTCTTCAAGTTATGTAAATAAAGAAAACTAAGGTTGGAAATGGTTTGCTAATATGAATTTTTTTTCCATCCGTGAAATATAATCCGAGGAAAATTATGATAGCAGCCACACAGTACTGTGCTTTTTGAAGCGAGGATAGCTAACGTACTTGCAGAATTATGAATGCATTTTAACATAGTAGAAGTGTTGCATCTCACATATTACTCAAATGACATTTTCATTTTGGTTCCACTCTGCAACGTATGCATTTTATTTGATGCATTCAGAATTCCGATTATTCTTCACTGCAGGTTAATATACGTACTCGCCGCATTAGAAATCCTATCATTGGTGACAAATTCAGCAGCAGACATGGACAGAAGGGTGTTTGCTCTCAGCTATGGCCTGATATTGATATGCCATTTTCTGCAGTTACCGGAATGCGACCTGATCTCATAATTAATCCTCATGCATTTCCTTCCAGAATGACAATTGGAATGCTTTTAGAATCTATTGCTGCTAAGGTACTAAACTTCGGGTTACGGTCTTGATGTTTTCTGTATGGCTGCCTATATTTTTCATTTTCAACAGAAGTGACTAATATTCATTTTCGGGACCATAAAAGGATGATATATTTATTTCTTTTTCTTGTTGCAAAAAGGATCTTTAAGATTATTCCATGTCAGTAAGTCAGCTTATATATAACTGCCGATATTCTTAATTTGAGTGGTAAAAACTCTTATAAGTCTAATAGATATTATATCAAGTAAATCTGTAGGTAAACTGCAGGCTCCTTTCTTCATATACACGCATGCAATAATGTTACATGCATGGGACACACACAGAGACTTTGATAGTTATGAGTGGATGACTTGTTTTGTTAAATGAGCTATCAAGAGATAGGCGATGATGAACTCGAGATTCAAGTTTCTAATTAAACGCGACACTAACTGAGATGACGTGGTTAAAAAAAAGAGCTACCAAGAGATGAAGGGTGGTGAGAAATATTGACTAGCGAGTTGGCTTCAACATGTCACCTGATGCCCATCTCTTGGTAGCTCATTTATCAAATCAGCTGTCACTTGATGCTGTGCGTGCGCACGCGCACGCCCGTCTTTCCCAGACATGAATTACCTAGAAAAGATCAAATGATTTAGTTGACCAATTATACTAAATTCTGAAGTGTTGATTTGTTGACATCTGATACATGAGTGAATTGCTTTGCAATGAATTGATGTTTTTGTTTGTAGATTGTTCATGTCTAGTAAATCCAATCTATCAGCCTGGGTTTTTTAACCCGATCACCACCTTTTAAATACGATCAAGAGCCTAGCCCATTTGTCTCTCTGTGCGCCCGCGCGTTTTTGGTTTGTGTAGGATCTTCCGTTATATGTGTGTATATACATCGAAAATCTTGTACATACTATGAGGTTAAATCGAATGGATATAAAAGTAATTAGCTTCTTATAATAGATTGTTTCCCACCCTAAGGTCTAGAAAATCTTTTACATACTATGAGGTTAAATCGAATGGATATAAAAGAAATTATCTTCTTATAATAGATTGTTTCCTACCCTAAGGTCAAGCATAATATACACAAGATTTTAGATTTTTGGTACATGTACATTATAAGACGTGAAGATGAACTTGCTAAGCTGCGTAAATAAATTGGGGAGGCAAAATCAAGTTTCTTCCATCATAGGAGGAAATTTTGTTCTTGAAATTGCCGATACTCACGTTTCTTTCTCATGCACACACATATATGGATATGAGGTGACATTATTTTGCTACATGTGCCCCTTAAGAGATGGATAGTGGTGAGACTTATCCCGTTAGTCAGATGTCGGCAAGTGGACCTCAACACTTCTATCTGTTGGTAGCTTGCTCTGCCATGTGAGTTGCCAATTCATATCCCATGTACACACACATGCATACATGCAGAGATAGTGGGCAACGAATTTGGGAAATGATGAGTCCGTCTACTTTTTCCCATTAGATTGGACTAGTAATGTGGTCCCATAATGTCCTCTTGTGGTAGCTCATTGGATTTAAATTATATTTCCTGGAGCTTGAGTATACTTTATACTCGATAGACCTTAAAGTTATTGTATGTTTTAATGGGGATATAATTAAATTTGATAAACCTCAAACTATGATGAGATATCAAAAGTAGTTCTAAATATACAAGGAATTTTTTTTTTTCTGTTTATGGGAAAAGTTGGGGAGGGGAATAAAAAATAATTGCTGTTGCATAGGTATTTAGCGTACGTGTATTAATGTATGTCTTTGGGTATGTAGGTAGTACGCATTTCTTATATTTAACAATGAATTTTGTAACTATCCACAGGCAGGAAGCCTTCATGGGAAGTTTATAGATGCAACACCTTTTGCGAGCTCAGTTGATAAAAAGGATGGAAAGGAACGCTCAGAACGAAGCTCTTTGGTTGATGAACTGGGCCCTATGCTAGCATCCCATGGGTTTAATTATCATGGATCAGAGGTCTTGTATAGTGGATTTTATGGTACAGAGATGACTTGTGAAATATTTATTGGGCCTGTATACTACCAACGGCTTAGACATATGGTGTCTGACAAATTTCAGGTGAGCTATGGCTTTTAATTCCTTAGTTATTTCTGTGTAGTTCTCACTGCTGGGTCACTATTGATTATGTATTGCAATATGTTGACTGCTTGCATTGTACAATAGTGTTTGTACTCCTTTTTATCTTGTATTTGTTAGGTAAATACGCTAAACTTCAACCATTTTCATGTTATCCTTTCTGGCAAATTTAAACCTCAGGGTATTTATATCAAATATCTGCCAGTGGCTCTTGTTTTAGTTTTGATTATAGTTTGTGAATCAAAACCATCATATATTTGCATTCTATTCATAGGTTCGGTCCACTGGAACTGTGGACCCAATAACCCGGCAACCAGTCGGAGGAAGAAAGCGAGGGGGAGGTATTCGATTCGGTGAGATGGAACGAGACTCTGTTCTTGCTCATGGAGCTGCCTATCTCTTACACGACCGTCTCCACTCTTGCTCGGATTATCACATTGCCGAGGTTTGCTCTTTTTGTGGCAGTTTACTTACTGCGACAGTAATTCAACAGCAGAAGAGAATAGTGCAAGAGATTCCAGGGGTTCCCCAAACCAGAACTCCGAAGAATTTTACGTGCCATGCCTGCAAAACCAAGAAGGGGATGGAGACGGTGGCGATGCCTTACGTTTTTAGGTATTTGGCCGCTGAGCTTGCAGCCATGAATATCAGAATGGAGCTTAAGCTGAGTAATAGAGCTGGGTGCTAAATTTAGGAGTAAATTACTATGTTTAATGCTCAAGGCTTTGCCCGTTTGTACGCGCACAACCGTTGGGAGGAAGAGCGAGCGCTTGAAGGGTGGTGCTTGTTTTTTTGATAGAATTATGATTTGTGTTCGAAAGCTAGCTTTGAGCAGGAGAGCAAGTGTGACATTTTGTAAGCATTTTGTGTTTTGTTAAATAACTAACTGAGTGCATTTTTGTAAAAGGTGAAATTATTTTTATTTGAGAGCAAGTGAGAGTTTCAGGGGATTAAAATTGCAATATTGCTGTTCAAGTGAAGCTTTGAAATCTGTATGGAAACTAACGGACTGTGCTTTGCAGCGGCTAAGATCTTGAAAATTCATGAGAACATCTCCAACCCAAAATTCCAAAATGGTGTAGTTTTTACATCAAGTTGGTGTAGTTTTTACATCAAATTACTATTTCATCTCTAGTTTATTACACCAAATTTTACACCAAATAAAAAAATATGAGGAATGAAATGAGATATGGTTAGAATATTTAATTTGTTATGACTAATTTTAAGGGCAAACTGGGAAAAAGAAAAAAACTTCATATCTGCAGTGTTGCGTCATTCCTGACGCAACACTGTAGCTGCGCCCCAAAATAGCGCAGGTTTTGGCGCTAGGTTGGAGGTAGTTTTGATGTTTTTTTAGCGTTAAAATGGTTTTTTGAAGTAAAGTTGGAGATAAACTCTGAGCTAGTTAATGTTCCATAATGTAGAGTTTAAACTGTTCAATGAGTTAATTATGGCGGTTACACGTGTAATTTATTTAACTAGACATTACATGGTCTCCTATAGGCAAATAGAGATTGCACTTGGTCCCCATTTGGAGAGGTTGGTCTGTTATGTTCTACACATTATAAATTTATATGTATGGAGCTGCCTAAATTTATCCATTTCCTCACCTGGACTGCCCAGAAGTATTTTTTAAGGCTAAATCGCACTAAAATACCTTATGTTTCTCTAATTTGGCACTTACACACCCTTAGTTATTGTCTAGAACATTTATATACCTGGAGTTGTTTAAAATTAACAATTTAGTACCCTCTGTTGTGCGGACGTGAAAATTTTCATCCGGAAGTTTTCTATGACATACATATGTTGCATTTAGATCTTTCTAGCTACTAAATTTGCTAAACTTACTGTTAAATCTAACTAAATTTTATTTTTCAAGGAGAATCAGAATATGTTAAAATTAGAATTTGGGTAGGATTAACAGCAGATTTAATAAATATTAATAAATAAAAGGCTCTAACTTTAATATGTGAATATTACACGTGGGAACTTTCATTTGAAATTTGCATAACAGAGGGTCCTAAAGTGTTAATTCTAAACAACTCAGGGTATTTAACGCTCCGAAAAACAACTGAGAGTATATAATTGCTAAACGAGTGAAGCATAAGGTATTTTAGTGCAATTTAACCTTTGCTTTTTAATGCTCCGATACCTCCAAAATTTGAGTTTTATTTCACTTTGATACTCTCAATTATATTTTGTTAGATTTTATGTTAAATTTGCATTACATCCAAGTTGCTCGGGATTCAAACAGGTTAAACATTTCCAGCGAATCGAAGGTATCACATGCTGAGCACGTGATGTGAACTTAATAATAATCTAAGAAAATCTATATAAACCAATCTAAATGGGTATCGAAGTGAATCCACCATTCTATATTTATAGGAGGATCCAAAGAATTACTGTTCATGCTATACTAAATATTACAGTGAGTTACTGTAGCATAAACAATGAATCGAATTTGGTCTCCTCGCTCGAAAATGCTGTAAAACGTGGATTCTCCTTCCAAGTATAGAGGAATAGATATGATTTTTAAATCAAATGTATTAAAACTTAGATCATTTAAGTTTAAGATGCGATGCTTAAAAAGAAAAAAGAATCATGCCAACAACTCATCCACCACATCTAATAAAATATTATTTTCATCCAACAACTCATCCATCACATCCACCACATCTAATAATATATTATTTTCATCAACAACATCACTCAACTCATCTCATCTCATATTTAAAAATCACCCACATCATCCAATAAGATTGTGACAACTCATCTCATCTCATTAACATTTTATTTCTTTGTTTTCATCCCAAAAAGTTGTGAAAACACATTTCTTAATCTTGGATCACATCACCCAATAATACAATGACAACTCATCTCATCTCATTTCATTTCTTATTTTTAAGAATGAACCAAACAAATTTTTTTAAGAAATTGGTTTCTTATAATTCATTTCCTTATTTTTTTCGCCAACCAAACAACATCAAAACAAGTTTTCTTAAAAAATCACTCACATCATCCTATAATAAGGTGACAACTCATCTCTATTTCTTTGATTTCTTCTTTTTTTTAGCAAATCAAACACTCCCAAAACAATTCTTTGATTTAATAGTTTTCCATTTCTTTGATTTCCCTTTTTTTTAGGTAAACAAACAGGCCCTTATCGCAAAAAAAAAGAATATAAATTTTTATGTTTGTTTAAAGAATAAATAAATAAATAAAATCGTTCCCAAAACTCGGCTCGTCCTGCGCCTCTCTTGCCTTATCCGCTCTCCTCAGTTTTATCCTCTCCTCGTCGCCTTCCCATAAATATCTCCTCCTGAAAAAAAAAGAAGAAGAAAAAAAAAAAATCCAACAAACAAAAATATCCTATATATCCCCCCAAAACTTTTAACACCATCCACCGAAACCCTAACCCTAGATCCAATGCCAACCCCGGCAGCACCCCTACATCTCCTCCTCCCTCCCGATTCCCGCCAGAATCCCATCGCTCGCCGCGTCGAGAAGATCGAGGTCGGTGGGCGTCAAGATCCGTTGCCAGGTCGCCGTCCCCACCGACGTCTCCTCCTCCTCCTCCTCCTCGTCGCCGCCGCTCACCGACGAAGAGCTCGAGGCTGAATCCAAGGTCGGGAGGAGGATCAGGGTCAAGTCCCCGTTGAAGGTCTACCACGTCCCCAAAGCGCCGGACTTGGACCTCGGGGGGATGGAGGGGGTGATCAAGCAGTACGTCGGGGTCTGGAAGGGGAAGAGGATCTCGGCGAATTTGCCGTTCAGAGCCGAGTTCTTCGTCGAGGCTCCTGGGCTGGGGAAGCCGGTCAAGGTCGTGGCGCATTTGAAGGAGGACGAGTTCGAGTACGTGGAGGGTGAATGAGGGTTGAGCTCCCGCCGGAGGATTCGACGGGTTCGGGGGGGCTTTTGCATATAATAACGTGATGTAAGATACTACTCTCTGTTATTTTCAGATGATTTGATAGTAAAGAGGAGATGGTGATTCTGTAGCTTCACTCGGGTAGGCCTCTTATCTGCTTTACTTCCTTTTCATGGTTAATCCAGTGAATTTGAATGGAAATGCGTAGAAGCATTGAAAAACTCTATTAAGATTTTGGGGCTGTAGAAGCCCGTGTTATCGACGCTCAAATGGGCGGCGCAAATTCGCTTTAGGCGCGCATGCGCAGGGTGCAACGCGACGCGGGCGCTGGAGAGAAGCAGGCTGCACGCTGCACAGACTGCGTTACGAGATAGATAGTCAAGCACAAAAGGGCATGTTTGTGAATTTTCACATAAAAATGTGTCAAGATAAATAATATCTACTACCAAATCGCAACATAAGCAACATAAGGCCTTAATTCCTAATGCTGACACATCCAGCATAGCAGTGAAGTTCAATTTTCCGAATCAGAAGTCAAATCAAGACTAATATCGAAGCAAAATCAAATCGTAAATTATGGTCCTCAATTGGTTAAAAAAGGCCTTATTGGCTTATTTTACTCTTCGGATATGGGTTATTGGGTACAATGGCCCGATCGAAGTGTTAAAGAACAACAATACATGGGGCTAGTCTTGCGTGCACCTTGTGCTCCTCATGAGGCGCACAAGGCACTGCTACATGAGGTGCGGGGCGCTTCGCCACCTCCTCGCATCGCAAGGCGCATGAGGGGCCGTGAGGCATGCGCCTTTGATAACACAGGTAGAAGCAATCAAACTCGTAAACTTATTCGATGTACTGTGACCTCAAGGGAGTGGGCATGAACTTTTGTGGTTTTTTTATTTGTGAATGATATATTGATATCTAGGTTTGTGCTTATTTAAGTGTTATATAAAACGTGATTGGTGGTCTCAGTTGGAAATGGGTTAAAGGTAATTTTTGAAGCTTGATATAGAATTCATTAGTAAAATCTTCGAGGAACTTGGCAGACACTTGTGGGAGATGTTGGTCGGCAACTTGTGAAAACTAGATGGTTACATAGGTCTTTAGAACTAGATGACTGGTTTCATTTTATACTCTTGGGGTCGTCTCTATGGTTAACGTGCTGATGTGCATCTGGACATTCATATGCGAAGAGAAAAACATAAGGAGGTAGGTTGCTTGCAGTTTGAATTAGTTTGTTGGAGTCAATTGCTACGATGACCGTTGTGTTGAAGACGAGGGAGAAAAATGAAACAAAGATAAAGATCGTAATATGATTGTTGACATTTTAGCTTATTCATATAAGCAGTGTTATGTACGCAACAGAGATGTACTGCAGCAGTAGTGCTATTCAGGGATGTTTTTCCTCTGCGATTGTTAGACTACTATGTGCTATCTTCTTTGATGCAAGTGCAATGTCTTTGATTTTTCTTCCTTTATTACCTCGCATCAGTTTGCTTGGGATTGTGGTTAAGTTGAGTGTGGTCATCTATTTCGCGACCGAATTCTGTTCTGGCATTCTTTCTAGTGGAAAACTTCATTAATCATTAGGGACGAATCGCGAGTTTTCTTCATCTGTACAACATATCTGCGTTGCTGATCGTATTTGTCCACGGTTAACTGTGTTGAAAACAACAATTCTTGCAGCGTCGTTGCCTCGTCGTCCATGCCTATGTTTCTCAACAGTTGGTTTCTTCAAGTTTGCTCATGTTTATCATCCCTTTTGGCTTTTGGAAGAGCATTGTTTTAAATATCCCCGACATGGCCCGATATATCCCCTGATATATCCTTTTACAGGGCTTGCCGCAACCGATATGATCTTTAAATATCCTTTACCGCTTTTTGGCTATTTTGAGTGATAAATCCCCGATATGACCGATATATTAACCGATATGTGGACCAATATATCTTTTTATATAGCTTGTTGCAAAATAATAGTGTTTGGAATTTTTGGACGAGATATCAAGATTTTCCCATTATATCAAGTGACATTTTGCCCTAAAAAAAACAGATCGAATGTTGCAACGTTGTTTTGCACTTTTGTTTGTTTTAGAAGGTTGATTAGTGATCCTAAACATATATTATTCATATTTTATATGCTTAAATTTCATTACATATGTTGAGATTATATTTTAATGCATTATACTATGTATGCAAAACATTCATTATGACATTCCGATATTTACCACATATCCTCGATATTCGTAATCCAATATGAATTTTGGTCATCCGATATTTCCCGATATGCGATATTTAAAACCTTGATGCATTGCATAGATTTATCCAGGTGATCCTTGAGCCATTTCTGTGTTCCGCTGGTGGTCGTCATGATGCCTTAGAAAAGGACAAATGCTTCTCTTTTCATTTGTATATTGGTAAGTTATTGTTATTATTGTTTCAACAATTTATCATCCTATGGAAACTTCTTGAACGGTTGTGTGTGAATTAATCACTGATAAGGAAAAGGAATATTCCGTTTTCAAGGGATTAACGTATGAATTTGTTAGTTGATTACGTGAACAAAATATGAGTTCCAGACACATTGACATAGCTTTGTAATTCTATTCTTACGGATAGACGTCCTTACTATTTGTGTCAAATGCGGGTAGAGTTTGATTGAATTTTTTTTATTATACTCTATTACTCTCAAGAGTTATATTTGATAAATGATCAATTAGTTCCCATCAATTAATAATAATTTGAGACAGAGAAAATAGAAATATAGCGCCATGTATATATCAGTGCCCCTCTTGACATTTACCTTCTATGGTGGTTGTGAAATATCTATCGTGCTGTAAATATGGATGATACATATTGTCTGCATCTAGTCCGTTTATAAAGTATATATCATATTTATTTTATAGACAAAAGAATTTCATCTTGTTTTTGTATAGCAGAAAACTGTTATTATTTTGAGATAAGAATTTAGGTTATGTACCAAGTTATGAAGTAAGAAAAAGATTAAAGCGAACTAATATCGGATCATATTATATTGTATTATACTTAAACTATCTACTAAAACATTTGGATGATTAATTTTAGATTAGCAGTAGTCGATTGTACAGTGCCTTAGAAACAACAGAGTGGGAAACATAATTATTTCCAGCTGAAAGAACAACCCTTGAGCTCTCTAGAAAGCTCCGTCCTGTCGTTTTCAGCGATGACCATCTCAAGGCCATCATGTCTCCACGTTGCCTCAACCTTTCTTGACAAAAATGAGTAAAAAAAACTCATCAATTTTTTTTATCAAAAACAAAGGATAAACCCTGTCATATGTATTAACTAACAGGTTTTACAAAAAAAAAAAAAACAGGATACGAATTGTATCCAAAAATTGGAAGATAGAAAGACTAGTGTAGACGTCAAAAAATGCTGAAAGATATCCAAATACAGCTCAAGAGGAGATCAAAAGAACACAAAAGACAATGTAGACTGTCTCGGCACGCGAGACAGTGTTTACTGTCTCGCCGTGCGAGACAGTGTTGTTTACTGTCTCGCCCGCGAGACAGCCTTCAAAAGATCAGAAACTGTTTTGTAACCGCCGACACGTGGTCACCAACTGTTCAAGAACGTGGGAAACGTCGTGGGCGAGAATCACGTTGATAACTGCCAAAATAACAAAGTTGTAAAACGTGGGAAGGCAGTTACAAGAAAACTGCTGGGCGGTTGAGGATTTCCGAGACAGCATTTACTGTCTCGGAACCCGA